AATGAGAAATTGGTTCCTAATATTTCTATCTTACTGTGTCGAGAAAGTCCCACATTTTCCTGGATCTCTGTCTCTGACAAGGCCCCATATGTGTGCCTCTTCTTCTTCAACCAGCATCACTGTCCAGTAAGGCAGCCTGTACCCACTGTCTGCTTTGATTACAGTAATGCCTTCATGACTGCTTTCCCTGGGTCTGTCTTCCCACCTTCCCCTGTACCCTTCAAAACAGAGACATTTCTCTATAAATGCAAATCCTTGTCATTCCTCGCATCAAAAATTTTTATTCTATTTTATTTTTCCAATAGTTTCTTCAAATCTACGGCCGTCATATAGAATGTATGGCCTTACACTTTTCATAAAAACTTGGGGCCACATCCCACTAAGCATAATCTGCCTTCTGTTTCTCTCCCATGGGGCCTCCTGTGTCCCTAAAGTCACCCCACCTCCCATCCCTTTGCTAATACCTTCATTGGAGCTCTGAGCTGAACTCAGGGACAGCAAGGCCACTGTGAGCAGGACCACCAGCATCTTGGAGGAGGCTCTGCAGTGGCTCCCAAGCCTGTGCTGGGGGAAGCAGGGCAGCTCCCTTTAAAAGGAGGAGAGGATCAGTGGTGCCTTTGAGCTCCAGGTCTCAGTGACCTCACATCTGACACACATGTCTTGCCTCCCTACTTTCTCTTTGGGACCTCAGCCCAGCAGGATAGGATAGGCAAGAGTTTGTCACCTGTTATTTATAAGAAGTACAATATGTGACTTGGGCAATAGTGTTGAAGGAAACTAGGCAAGTATTCAGCAAAGATGTTAGAGTTGAGGTTCTCTAGTTGTTTGATCTTTAGTCTGATTGATGAGACTGTGACTTTGCCCTTCCATTGTGTATTGGGTTTGTGGGGGGTTGGTGTTACACACAGGTGCATATTTGTGTCAGCAATGACCCTAGCATCAAAAATGGAGATAGTCTTATTTTTTTTGATTATAGTCAAAATTCCATCAAACATGATGTCTATGTTCCCGTGCATATGATAGATAGCTGAAGTTTTGATTATTTAGGGTCCTTCCTTTTCAACTCTGAAATAGCTTAGGATACCTCATGGACACATGGTAACTGAAAGATGACCCTCAGCCTGTTCAGACCCAGAAACATTGTTCAGGAATCACTGGATCAGGTTCTAATCAGGAGGCCTTGGTGCTGTGAGAGCATATACCCTAAAGTATTCTGTTTTTATTGGTATCCCTGGGTATTGTTAAAGCAAAAGCAGTCACAAAATAGCCATGGAGTTTTGCACACCCCAGCAATGGGAATGCACAGTTCCTAGAGAAACCACACATTTCAGGTCTCAGTCTTCCTCTAGGCTCCTGTCCTTTTGTGAGATGTTCTATAGGATGCCTTGGGAACTTGCTTTATTGAAGAAAGCATTATGAATCACACCAGTGAAAATTTATGGGCCACAACGATTCACTTGAATCATTGAGGTAGCAGGACATCACTTTTGTAGGTTCAATTGCTTTGCATTTGTGTTTGGTTTAGCAGTCATGTTCTGTGCTGTTTCTTCAGGTTGGTCTCCACTAGACACTTTTGTGTGTGGTTCCCTGATAATCATTTCTCCCACTCTCCTTTGGAATCAGATGTTCAAGTTTTGAACAACCTGATTTTATATATCATCTTACATTTAGCTCCCCGCTCCTTTATATTTAGAATGAACTCCTTTATTGAATCTTACAAGTCTCAATTGATTCTATGTTTCATTAGATTGTTACATTTTTACTTCAAAATTTGGTTAAAAGGTATTGTGTTTCCAACAAGTCTTCTTGTGCACCTGCATTGCTTGCCTCTTTTCACCTTGTTCTCATTCTGTTGTGTTTGGTAGTTACCTGCTCATCCTTTTCATGGAAGATCTAGATTGATCAGTCTCACTAGCTGCATCTTATCATTTTAGATCGTGTGTGTGTGTGTGTGTGTGTGTGTGTGTGTGTGTGATTCCTTTCATTACAGAGTTCATGGTAAATTGAGGGCAGATTCGTTGGAGATATACCAGGGATGGCCATGTGACTGGCAATCAGTTTTTTTTTTTTTTTTAGTTTTAAATGGACAGATTTCCTTTATTTTATTTGTGTATTTTTATGTAGTGCTGAGGATCGAACCCAGAGCCTCAAAAGCATACTAGGCAACCTCTCTGCTACTGACCTAAGGCCCCAGGCTTGTGACTGGAAATCTTAAAAATAGGCCCCTTGTCCAGTCTTCTGGCCCTTCCTGTAGTATGCAGACCTATTGCAGGGATCTCTTAAACATGGGTTTTTCTGTAGATAACACGACATTCACAGGGTTTCCAGGCTGATGGATTTTTTCCTCCGGCATAATCATAGATGTATTCTAAAGGGGAATATAAATGCTGTTGGCAATTTTTCACTGGCTTTGTGATTCTTTCAAATATCACTCCGATTAGGCCTTTGTCTGACCTTCTCCCAAGTTAGCAATGAGTGAAAGCAATTAGTGTAGTATGAAAGAAAAATATCACCTGTGACCCCACCACACACAACCAAAACAGTGGTTAAGGAAGAACCCACAGGTAAGACTGTCAGGTAGGAAGGATATGGTTGAAGCAATAAGCAAGACCTTGGTAGCAGGTGAGGTGCCTTAAGGTGAACTGCAGACCTCACGTAACCCACTTCTCTTGAATACATGTGTTATACTTAGCTGTCATCAGTAGAATTCTTGCCTTCTACATCCTAATTCTTATTTTTTAATCATCTAGTCTGAAACAAATGCCGAAAAAAAATCTATAGTCTGGGTAAAATTAACAGCAGATTTTTTTTTTTTCACACAGGTTTGAAGTTACAAATTCAAGATGAAAGTAGCAGCAGCTCTGTCTTTTTTGTAGGCCTCTGTCCCTGGCTCCCAGAGTATTGCCTCCATGCTCACAGGGGACCTCATTTATGCACATGCATCCCTGCTGTCTCTCTGTGTATCCAAACACCATCTTCTTATGAGGACACCTGTCATATTGTATTAGGATGGACACTAACACACTAACAGCTTTATTTTTTTTTTGGAATCAGGGATTGAACTCAGGGACACCCAATCTCTGAGCCACATCCCCAGCCTTATTTTATATTGTATTTAGAAGCAGGGTCTCACTGAGTTGCTTAGTGCCTTGCCGTTGCTGAGGTTGGCTTTGAACTTGCAATCCTTCTGCCTCCTGAGCCACTGGTATTATAGGCATGCACCACTATACCTGCCACAGCCTCATTTTTACTTAAGCATTTTTAAAGGGCCTGCCTCCAAATATAGTAATGTTCTGAGGTCCTAAACCCAGAAGTAAGTCTTAAACTCAGAGGAACTCTGGGAAAGGGAGAAAATATAGCTCTTAAAATCTCCCAGTGCTTTTTCAGCTAATGACAACTGTTTTTCACTAAACTATATTTTTTTATAAAGGAGTCTTTTTGGTTCCCCACTCCCCAAGACCCTGCCTATTTCCAAATCTATTTGACTCTACTTTCCAAGTGCATCCTAAATATGACCACTTGTGTAATCTACTCCAAAATCCTGATTCAGGCAGTGATTGTCTCTAACAACTCCCATCTCCAAGGCTGGGTATAATCAAGAACCTTCATTCAGCCCTTATTGCAATCCATTTCATTGGGAGAACCTAGTTATTAGGTATCGCTGATTATCATCATCATCTCACTTTTGCAGGTGGGATCATGAGGCATGGGACAAGGCTGCTGTGAAGACAGTGGTCACAGAGGCAGCCATGTCCAGGGCTGTTTCCTGCTGCTAGGCTCCACTGCTTTCCTGCTGTTTGTTTGCTTTGAAGGAGAGCAGGAATGAGATCTAGAGAACAAATATAACTACTTGTTTCTGGAGTTAGTTAAGGGAAAGCTTTCTAGGGTATTAATAGATGAGTTGAGAAACAATATCTTGCTGAATAATTGTTTGAAATCATAAGCACTTTTACCCAGACTTCTGTTATCCTGTTTTTCCTCACCTTCATACAAAGATATCATATAGATTAGTGTTGGCTTTAAAACTTTTCTAATAAGATTATTGGGATCCCTCATCTGCACAGGGTTCATGCAAGTCCCTGGGTAGACCAAACAGAAGAAGAATAGATTCAAATTCTCCATGAGTAAGCAGTTGTCCTATTTCTGCCTCTTGTTTGCTCAACCCTCCTAATTTTTTCACTTTCATATCTGCCACTTACCCATGGTGTAACAAGATTTCAATGCTTTCTGTCCATGAACTAACTTCAGTAGCCTGTCATATGTTTGGGGATTTTGCTCCCAGGGAGCTTTGGTTCTCATGTATAAAAACAAATTTCTAGATAGTCCGATTCTTAATGTACAGATAATAGCAGATGGTATTTCAGCACTATCCTAAGAGTATTGAAGGTTTGTATTGTAGTTTAGGAACCTCAAAATTGTATTTTAGTGGAGGTTGAGGTCCCTATTAAAATG